GATTCTAAAAATAGCATCAAAGAGTGTTTATGATGGGGGGCAGGAATTCCTTCTCTTATTCCTCATGTGATTCTCTTCAGTATTACTCCGCAGTGAAATGGCTAAGTGTTATGTCCAACCCCTCATAACCATATCCCACTTAAATCTGTCATTGGGATGTTTCTTTAGGTATTCTCACACATCTCATGTGATCAATGACAATCTTGTCTTGATCGGTGGAATCGATCCCTACACCACAGGAAGCCCATCTTTTACAGTCGTTAACTTGAAGTCCCTCACAAGCAGCTCTTTACCATTACCGGTAGGTTGTAGTGCATTACAAAACAATATACGCCCATTTTCTTTTGTCTCTAGTAAGTCTTGGTATCTTAGTATAGACCTCATCTAAAAATTAAACCGCAAGCAGCTTTTATAAGGGTAGAGCGGGTCTTTGTTTTTAGAAAGATATCTTGTACCGGTACCTTTGGTTTAAAAAAAATCTTAAAAATAAATAAACATATCATAGACCTCCTCTCGGTCCAGCGGGGGAGATATACGTAGAGGAATATTAGCTATTGTAGCATTAAAATACGCACTCTAACGCTGTTTTGATATGTTCAGGTGTGTCCCGGCCAGTCTCCATTGATGCTTCACAATCACACCAGTATTCTGATCGACCCGCAGACGATCATGGTTTTTGGTGGTGGCGGGAACTGTTTTTCGTTTGGAACTCATTTGAATGACGAGCCATTTATAATAGAAACCTCGTCATTGGGCTTGATGGAGGAATGAAAAATCTTTGAAATTAAATCACAATTTAAAAAAACGTGTCCCAACTAGTAGTATATGGATACGACTCAAACAAAGAATCTTATTCTCAAGAGAATGATGCATTGCAAAAGGCGATGCATCATGGGACTACTTAACAGACGCTTTAATAAAGGTTTTGCATCGTCATTATGTCCACGTCCATAATACTGCTTGGGCTTCCTGTGGTAGATGGCAGAACAAAATTCCTTTGCTCTTGGGAATTGAATTCTTTCTCATTTAAAACGATTGTATTGTTCTTGCCATCTAACATGGCTGCCGTCACGTGATGGTGCAAAACCTCTATACTTATACGGATATGGCGTCTTTTCCCCTTGCTAATAGACCCTTTGCATGTAACGTCAAAGCAGCTCAATCTGGGGGACAAAACAAAAGAATAGCAATCTCCTGAGAATTGGAACCTATTGTTTTGTCCATCAGATTGAGCTGCATTCCAAAGTGCTACAAGGGGTCTATAGTGGTTTTTTGGAAACAAAGTCAGCGGATTGATGAAGCGTCCCTCAGAACAGCTCCATTATGAAACGCATTATAAATACTAAATACTAAATTGATGATTTATTTATTTATTATTAATAGTAATAAATGAATTTCCCACAAATACACGATAACAATACCATCATACATTGAGCAGCGTTTTATTTAGCTAGGTTTGTTTCACGTGCTTATCACACGTGGTTTTTTAGTCTTTGCGTAATATAAACTTTCTTTTAATTTCTTTTAATAAATTACTCGGCCTTTTTAAAAGGCAATAGCGTAGGTGTACATCAATATTTATTTGAATTTATAATTATTACATGTTATAAGAGCTGGTTATAAGTGAATAAAAAAGATATCAGGCTCTTAGAGTGCAAACAATATAACCGTGAAACTTTAGTAATACTAAATAGCACAATTTCATGTGAACAAATTCCATTGTTTTCTATTGTTTAATTAGCACTATTTTGTACTATTTAGTAATTAGTGTTTCACGGATTAATTGTTTGCACTCTGGCATGTAATAATTAATAAATTGGTAATTACACATTTAGGGTCGATAAACAAAACTTAGTTTCCAGTTTACCGTGAAATAATATCGGATCGCTTTTATTTACGGCTCCGTCACACTCAATCGACCCTAAATGTGTAATAGAAATTATATGTCTTACGGTTTTGTACTATTTCTTTTTGTTCTCGTCTACCCTCCTCGCAGACACTCATATAGTCGTCGAAGAAACGTTGCGTGACAACGTGACGACTTTAAGAACGTCTAGTCTGCGGAGAAGGCTAGTTTTCGTCCTTGGCAAGTGCCAATCTCGTACCCAATCCCTTTTTTCTTACTGCACACGCTCGACGAAAAAAAATAGAGCATGGGCAGTAAGAAATAAAGGCTCTGGGTACGAGATTGAGCAAGTGTTTTTTAGCTAACACGAAGCTTGCGATGCTTTATTTTCTAATGAAGCGCGTTCTTTTATTCTTTGAACTCGAATGCTGGGAAGAGCGAAGAGCCTGGTACTAATACATCGACAAGGAAGTAGACGGTGCCTGCCATTCCTTTAAAGAGATGAAACTTTTGCTTTTAGTCCAACGAAACAAAGTTTCGAAACCTTTCAAAATTATTGTCACATTCACATTTGTGCAACTCGGGTTAGATTCCTTGACTCGGAATCACATGTGAGTAGAGATTTTTAGGTTTCTCCCTTGATTCAAAGGTTTTTCTCGGAGTTTTCCAGTTTCCTCCCTCCACAAAACCTAACGAGGGTTTCAGGGTTCGTTCTGTGAGTTAGCCGTGCCTTGACTTAGATCAGCCCAGAGGTTGTTTCATGGGTCGATCTGTGAGTGAGCCGTGCCCTGACTTAGATCAGCCCAGAGTTTGTTTCATGGGTCGATCTGTGAGTTAGCCATGCCCTGACTTAGATCAGCCCAGAGGTTGTTTCATGGGTCGATCTGTGAGTTAGCCGTGCCTTGACTTAGATCAGCCCAGAGGTTGTTTCATGGGTCGATNTGAGTTAGCCGTGCCTTGACTTAGATCAGCCCAGAGGTTGTTTCATGGGTCGATCTGTGAGTTAGCCGTGCCTTGACTTAGATCAGCCCAGAGGTCGTTTCAGGGTTCGATCTGTGAGTTAGCCTTGCCTTGACTTTGATCAGCCCAGAGGTTGTTTCATGGGTCGATCTGTGAGTTAGCCATGCCCTGACTTTTATTAGCCCAGAGGTTATTTCAGGGTTCGATCTCTGATTAGCCGTGCTAACTGGATTAAATGGATTCAAGAGTGGATGTTTTCATATTTAGACATACCTTCAAACAAGGAGAAGGGTGTGTCGGGAATGCGACAGCCATGTTTGCCATAATCTAAACACCATTCTGCAAACTAAAAACATAATGACTAAAAATAATTCTGATACAAAAGCCTTATATTATTGCTCATTGATTCGGCCAACAGTCAAACAAGATCAGCTTGAGACAGTGAACACTGACACTGACACTTTTTGGTTGACTGCCAAGTTACCAGGGTGTGGAAACCGGATAACATGATTAGTAGTAATACATACCTTGATGGCACGATAGATGTACTTGTGTGAATCAGTGGCTTTGTACAAGCTAAGGAAGGCATATGCATTACCAGAAACGCCATGGCATATACCATAACCTTTCCTCAGAAGACCTTTGTTCCAGATCAACTCACCACACTTCAAGGCAGATGTAAGGTACTTGTCTTTACCGAACACCTACGACAATTGGAATATTAGCTGTGATTAGGGATGGATCATAACACAATTGATGGGGGAGGGGAGGGGGGGTTGCAGAAATTTATATGCGCAATAATATTTCATTTACCGGTGCATATTTAGGAAGACGAATTGAAGTAAATAGGGAATTTAAGATTTGCAAAATCTACGACGGCGACGTCAACGGGAAGTGTAAATAATTTCTCTTTGGGGTTCTGTTCATTGGAGATTTAATTTAAAACATTGTCAGTAAAGTCAACTTATCCACAGGAAAGACAGACTTTGAAGACGCCCGGACCCTAAAGTGAAGTTATTTACACTTCCGGTTGACGTCGCCGTCGTAGATTTTGCAAATCTTAAAGTCCCTAATATTCATTGATAACCACTGAACCTACATGAGGCAAATAATTGTTTTAGTATTGGTATTTCAATTTCAGAGAAAAGACAAAATTCAGGATTTTATAAAATATTTTATTATTACTTCCGCTTTGGTGATTTTACTTCCGCTCAAGACCAGTGAATATGTCTGATAATCAGTGGTCACTCAACCAATCACAGTGCACAAACCTCCATATTCAAGCCTAAAATCATATATTAACCAATATTGATCATGTCCAACCTACCTTGTAAGCCTTGAGCATCAGGTAAACAGCCCCAGAAGCACCATGACACCAATGCACCAATTTGTCTGTTGGATTTTCAAGAGAAGAATGAAAATTCCCGGATGGAAATTGCTGGGTCAAAAGGAAGTCTATGCTTCTCTCTATGGCAGCAAGGTTGGACTGGACAGCTGGAGTTGATTGAGCCTGAAGACGATAAAGGATGACATTCGTATTATACCTTGTTGCATTACATTTTCGTGACCTTTTGATGTCGCGAGGTTCGGCATTTCGCGACACCTAAATTTTAATGATTTTTGCGGGAAAATATTTTATTTTAAGTCACTATAACTTCGCTGTGTAATTGAATAAGAGAATTATGATTCGTTGCAAAAACAGACATAGTTAAATTTTTGAATCGAGTACATTCCAAAATGGCAAAATCAAAATGAAAGTGTTGCAAAATATGTGAACTACGAACTCGCAAAGTGAATGTGTCGTGAAATATACGAACTGCGAAATTGAGGAATCTGTGTTGCAAAATATGCCACCTCCGCAATTGCGACTGAAATGCATGTGTCGCAAAAGATGTGAGCTGCAAAATTGCAAATGTGTCGTATGCGACCTTAAATATAGCGAAATAGAAGTGTCGCAAAATATGCAACCACCGAAATCGCGAAATTAATAATTCTAAATATTGTAATATTTATAATAATTCTAAATATTGTAATATTTATAATAATATATTTATAATAATATATTTATAATAATATATTTATAATAATATATTTCATTGGTAAATGAGAATTACATTTAAGAGAAGTTTCGTACCTGTAGCAGCATGTACAGTATGCCGACAATACCATGTGCTGCCCCAACATAGTGTTTCTCATGCCACATGTACATCAGGGGTGATGTGTGACGTTCTTGTTTCGCTAACCTTTGACCAGAGGCTATGATAGCAGAGCACACCTATACAATATTACATCTCAGTCAAATCCAACTAGTAGTCTATCATCAATGCTGCGTTCTGATTGGATGAGCTACTACTAGGCTATAAGTTATAGCCTTCTAGTGGCGAAAGAAGGTGTAAGTAGTATAAGAAAGGTGCCGGCTTTGAAAACCAAGACATTCAATTCAACTTCAATTCAAAACTTGTTTGCATCTATATATTTGACCAACTACTTCATTACATGAAATTTTCGCGACACTTTAATTTCAGGATTTTCAAAAAATTGCGAAAGTAATGTGACGCGAAAAATAAGTGTCTCGAAAACAGTGACCACCAAGAGAGCATAAATAAGAGAGGGAAACTTCTTAATAACGCGCGCGCCATGTAAATTCCCAGTTGGGCTATTTTTAGAAACCGGATGCAGCTCTTTCCGTTTCGTTTTTAGCGATCAATAAGCGGAAAGAGCGCTCGTGAATTAAGAGGTAATTAATAACTCATTTTATGAAATCGCAAAATTAAAGTAATTTAGAATGGAGAGAATAAGAGAAAAATATCAAATGCTCTTGGCGGGAATCGAACCCACGTCTTCGGTATTCTAGTCCGATGTGTTAACCACTACACTACAAGGACCAACCACGCTGGTAACGCAGCCGGAATATGAAATGTAGGGTACTCGTGAGGATCCCAGCGCGATATATATTTTTTCCCCTATAGGTAAGTAGAACACCGTAAATATGTACGTAAAAGAATAGACATAGTATAGTAGTGATAAATTATGCGTTCGGTGTAGAATGGCCTTTTTTTCGCAAAATCGCGAAATAAAGTGTTGCGAAAATTTCATGTAATACTAGATAGTTGGATTTGACTAAAATTTCATCTTCATGGGCTATTGACTAATAGTCCATTCAAGTTTGAGGAGTAATTGCTAGCTAGTTACCAAGAAATTACATTTATTTCAAAAAACGTTGAATACTGAATACTGCCATTTCAATGTTAAGGCATGTTGTACTGTGCACGTAAATTCCTACTGCATTAGGCATTTAAATTTAGTAGATACCTCATTCAAAGTAGTTGCCTTAATCTTGTCCTGTCCTAGTTCCTGCTGCACATACAGGAGGGAATACAAGTACCCAGATCTACCATACAGCACTTCATCTGGTAATGATGGATCTTTGCAAACTCTGTCGCACATGCTCTCTAGCCTGGTCAAACATTTTTTGCTTTTTTCTGGTTTATTTAGATTGAAGTAAAGGACTGCCAACTGGGCTAGTATACCTGTTAGAAGTATGGACTCAATATTGAATACTCCAGTTTTGAGTTCTCCTTTGCTCAGCCTTAGACATGAACTCACTCAGCGTGACCACAAATATCTAAAATAATTTCGTATTCTTTGCAACAAAAACTCAAATAAATGTCTAGGAATTTGCCTAGGTGATACCTATTTTGGTCCCTTTGCTTGCTAACACTGAACACTGAAAATATTCGTTGGGTGGCCATAGTATGACGCATCACGCTGTAATACTTACCAGCATCACCACAAAGAAATGTGCATCTTCGTCCTTTTAACTTTTGATCACCAATCTCTAGCATTTCTAAAGCTTTGTTTAAGTACTCTTCTTTCTTTGTGGGGTCATCTTTAAAGAGTGTCCTTGCTAAATGCATGAAAAGGTAAGCAACACCTGAAAACAAAACAGGTGAAAAAGACAAAATGATTAAGTTAAATATGGAAAAAATATATGAGAAGAGTAGAAGGGCAGAGGGAAAACCATTAGACATTTTCTGAACTTTTTTTGAAAATTTTGAAATATAAAGTACCTCCAGTTCCAGTATAAACTGAGTAGTCATGGTCGTTACGTTCATCTTCAAATCCTTCCTCAAACCTCGATAAAAGTTTCAGGGTTCCTTGCTTGAGTCTGGTGTAAAAAGGCTCATTCAGCTGATCAATTAAACAACAAAGTATATATAAAATTAATTAATCAAAAGCACTCAGTCTGAATACAGCAACACACCATTCATTCATATAACTTATGCCAACCTGCCCGTTTGCTCCAACTAGTTTTGAACTGCCATCATAGTCTGAAAAGCGGTTCTCAAACTCTCTGACATCTCGAGAAGCCATTTTGAAATTTAGAACTCCATTAAGAAAGAAATTACTATCTCAAATAACGTTGAAAAAGTTGTCTTCTCCAAGTTGCAAACTGCAAGCTTCGACTACTAGAGCTCTTCGATGCTAAACCAGCCAGGCGTTCCTGGCAACAAATAGCTTAATCCACAGGAAGCCCAATATTGTTTTGCACTATTTCAGACCGTAAATGATCACCACAGAGTATCCCAGTTTCTTTGTTAAAGCTTGCAACAAAAAACAAAAAAAAAAAAAAAAAAAAAAAAAAAAAAAAAAAAAAAAAAAAAAAAAAAAATTACACATAAATAATGATACCACTAACTCAAACGAAGAATATTATTCTTTAGACACGTGACCTGAAATGGGAAAACATTTTGCTCGCCCAAATTTCAAAAGAGGTCTAGCTTTTTTCTAATATTATTTTTTCATTTTCCATAGATGATAAAATGAAATTTTGCTATCCATAATTTTAACCATATTTTTTTTAATTTCCTTCTACCCTAAGCAATCAAAAATATGAAAGGTACCGATTGATTGGTTAGGTTTGATTGACGGCAGTGAAAAGGGGGTAAACTGATTTCATAATACAGGGTTTTCGCTCTTTTTGTCGTTTCTAAGAAGCGAAAACTACGACTTTATTGAAATCAGTCTAGATATGCACGGTCAATATGCATATGACGGCGCGGGTTGGAATTTTTGGTTACAGACGGGGTTGCCTCACAAGTAGCCTAAATTTAGATTAAAGTGAATGGTGAAAATAAAATCGGAAAAACTAAATAATATTTTCTTAAGAAAATTCAAGGTTACGTATAAGGTTAAGATAATGACCTCCGTAATACAAAAGAGTAAAAAAATATTATTTAGTTTTTCCGATTTTCGTCGTTCACTTTAATCTAAATTGGGCTTCCTGTGGTTGCCTTAGGGTTTATAAATAGATTTTTTTTTTTGAAACCCACAATCCTGATGGGTTCCAATGTAAACAGAGGGTTTGGTTAGGGAGCAGGAGGATTCTACCAATATTCCATGACTAATCATCCATATTATCGACTATTCTAAAATCCGTTGTTACATTTAGTCGAAATGGCAGATCTCATTCGGATCCTCCTCAAAGCAAGCGAGAAATCCGCCGAAATAGCAAGAACATGGATAAAACAAGACGAATTATTTAGTTTACTTGTGGAAGAAAAAATCGGCGAAGCGAAGAACGATCGATTCGTACAAGATTTCAAGACTTTAACTGATGTCCTCGTTCAAGAGACCATCAAACACGAAATTTTGAGTCAGGTAGGATAATTATCTAGACTATACGCTTGGAAAAAGAAAAAATATATATATTTAGTCAAAAAAAAATTACATGTATTTCTTTGCCGGGTAAATATGATTTTCTGTATGGTAATTCTTTCATGTAACGATTAATGTAACCCCTGACGTAATCTGAATAAGAATACCCGGCAACTTTTGAATGAATGGTGTCTTATTTTTTACAATGTTGGAAATTTTATAATAGGAATGCATGCAGTTTATAGAAAGTTGAACTCGTTTAGTTTCTTACCACTGTGCCAACGTAGGCCATGCAGTGAAACCAAATTCCATGCATACTTTAACCTTTCCCGTTTCCTTTACGCCTGGAGTTAATTTATCCATATTTTCCCCCATGCTCGCAGAAATAACAGTACTTCAATTAATTAGTACCGGACGCCATTCATTTGAGACTTAAGGAAAAAATTATCATACTCCTTCACTTTTAAAATCCCTTAAAAATTGTCATAACTTCCAAAAAAAAAAAAAAAAAGAAACTTAAATTTAAACTTAAACCATACCACACAGCTAAACCAACCAATGAAATTGTGGTTAACAATATTATAATTGAATGGTATTTTAAAGAACTCTGAAATACACATTTTCATTATTTTTAATATCCTATAAATTTCTCGACAAGACCGTTTTAATTTCATGTTGATAATGATGTTGATAATGATGACATTTAGAGCTATAAAAATCCTTTTCTGTTAGCTTGATGACCATTGTTCAACTGTGTCTCAACTCTGTGGTTTGAAAAAAATATGTCCAAGTCTATATCAAATTGGGGAGAAGTTGAGAGAGTTTATAAGATACCTCCCTACCCCACCCCCCTCAGAAAGTTTCATAACCAAAAATGCTAAAATGTCACCCTCAGCCATCCTCTGCCAATATAAGTTAACATATATAGATATTCTATTGAAGTGTCCATTTAATTGCCTTATCATTCTCAACCAATCTTTTGCCAATAAAAATTATGGGATAGATATTTTCTGTAGGCGTCCACTTGTACAAATAACTTAACTTAGTTAATATTTATATATTGATTTAGTTTACAGAGTTAAATGGCTATATTTATGGAGAAGAGTCCAATGTATTTACAAACAGCAAGGGATCTAGCATCACTGTGGAAATAAAGGAAAATCCAGTGGCAACAGCAAACCATCTCAGAAAGGTCATGAATGATAACAATTCTGCTGCAACATTATTAGCGAATATAGTGCACAACAATGTTACCATGGTTACAGAGCAAGATGATGAAAACCTAAAGAACATAGGTTTTGAGCTTGATATCAACAACATTGGTATCTGGATAGACCCAATAGGTAAAATGTTTAGTATTATGCAAAAAACAAACCAGCAATATGTAACCCAAAGGTTCTTACTTCATTCTTCTCTGTTTCAACTGTTATTATATTCTATCCTATCCCATCCTTTTTCTTCCCATCCTATTCTGATTATTCCATTTCATTCTATATTCTATTTTATCCTACCCTATTCAATTTCTATGTATCCCATTGCATTCTATTCTATTCCTTTGAGCTTTGTTATATTCTATGTCATCCCATCCTATTTCATTCCATCTTATTCTATCAGGTATTCCACCCATCCCAGCCCATTCCCTTAAATTATATTCATAGCTATTTTATTTTTTATCATTATATTAGAAAGAGAACATCTCTTTTGGTTTTGAAACAACAGCTATAGACTGGTGAATTATTAGATTATTATTATATGTTGAACAAAGTTTTTCCCTCTTTTTAGATGGTACTGCTGAATACATAAGCAGAGCTCAAGGAAAGACTGAAAATGGTATTCTTTCCAAAGGCCTTCCCTGTGCTACAGTTTTGATTGGTGTTTTTAATAAAAGCACAGGAGAGGCCTTGGGTGGTGTTATCAATCAACCTTTTTCAAGATATGATCAGAAGAACAGAACTTGGAGAGGCCAAATAATTTGGGGTATTTCTAAAAACCACTCTCTGTCAGATAACAACCTGAAAACCCAGAGATCTATCAACAATAACAATGAGGATTGCTCTTTGAATAATTGTGGGAATCCTTTTTCTGTAGTCATAAGCAGCAGTGAAGATAATGAACTCAAAGAAAAACTAAAAGCAACTGGAATAATGATGCATGAGATTGCAGCTGTTGGCTTCAAGCTTTTAAATGTCATTGATGAAACAGTAAATGTCTACTTGCTCAGCAAGGGGTCTTCTTTTAAATGGGATACATGTGCAGCACACGGCATTCTCAACAGTATGGGTGGAGGGGTGGTGTCCTTCCAGACAGCAGTACAGATTGCTTCCGAGTGTGGATTTGCTGATAGTGATCTCCTAAAAGAAAAATTGAAAGATTCCCAACTTGTCTACCACAAGCCCGACAACGAACTCTCTGAACCAGGGAAAATGTGGAGTAATAGTAAAGGACTTATAGCTTTTAGAAACTTTAAAGACTTATTTATTATTCTTAAAACCCTTACAGTTAGATAGAAATTAAATGAGAAATGTCTTAAAATTTTAACATTCAAACAATGAGAAATATTTATTTCGGGGGGGAGGGGGAGGGAGTTGATTATGCCTTTAATTGAGAAAAGTTTTAAGTTTTAGAATCCTAATCCTGTGAAATTAGGTGTGTGAGTGGGGGTTATAGTAATATGAAGCACTTTTAATTTTTAGGGGGCTTTATATGCCTTGACAAATGAAAATTTTTTTTTACAATTTTAGCAATTAAATCTTAAAAAATATTTGGGGGCAGGGAGCAATTACAGCCAAGAAGCAGTATAAGGTATAATACTAAAGGGAAGGAAAATTTCTTTTTAGTCATTATTTGGTATAATCAGTTCAAAATTTGAATATAAATTGTAAATAAGCATAGTATAATATATGGTCAACAGAAGGGCTGGCACCTACAAATTAAAGATTCTGGTATTAATAGAATCAATAAGCCATAAATATCTATTATAAGGTAATGAAATTAAACTAGCTTATTTGGTTCAATATCTTAATAAATCGATCAAATTGATTTCAAATCTTTTATTATCATGCCATTTTAATCTAGCTAACCATTCTCTTTCTGACTTCATTGTTTTCGGTCTTTCTTTG